ATAGGATCGCCCAACTTAGGCTATAGTTAGGCACCGTACTTTGGCACTGATGAATGCCATGGTGCAAAAACCTAACTGCGCCAAAGTTGGGCCCTTATGTTTGCCAGACCTTTGCCCAAGTTGGGCATTCCTCTGGCGTGCTACCTGGGTTCATTATCATTGGCAATGAAAAAGGTCGAATTCTAAGTAATCCGAGATAACTAGATTAGTGATACCTCGTCGTGACGCTAGAGCTTTTCAAGCTTTTATATTTATAGTACATTTCTCTTTGGGACTGTAAACAGCAATATTTCTGCACCTTCATTATCATTGGCAATGAAAAAGGTCAAATTCTAAGTAATCAGAGATAAGTATATTAGTGATACCTCGTCGTGACGCTAGAGCTTTTCAAGCTTTTATATTTATATTACATTTCTCTTTGGGACTGTAAACAGCAATATTTCTGCACCTTCATTATCATTGGCAATGAAAAAGGTCGAATTCTAAGTAATCAGAGATAACTAGATTAGTGATACCTCGTCGTGACGCTAGAGCTTTTCAAGCTTTTATATTTATAGTACATTTCTCTTTGGGACTGTAAACAGCAATATTTCTGCACCTTCATTATCATTGGCAATGAAAAAGGTCAAATTCTAAGTAATCAGAGATAAGTATATTAGTGATACCTCGTCGTGACGCTAGAGCTTTTCAAGCTTCTATATTTAAAGTACATTTCTCTTTGGGACTGTAAACAGCAATATTTCTGCACCTTCATTATCATTGGCAATGAAAAAGGTCGAATTCTAAGTAATCAGAGATAACTAGATTAGTGGTACCTCGTCGTGACGCTAGAGCTTTTCAAGCTTTTATATTTATAGTACATTTCTCTTTGGGACTGTAAACAGCAATATTTCTGCACCTTCATTATCATTGGCAATGAAAAAGGTCGAATACTAAGTAATCAGAGATAACTAGATTAGTGATACCTCGTCGTGACGCTAGAGCTTTTCAAGCTTTTATATTTATAGTACATTTCTCTTTGGGACTGTAAACAGCAATATTTCTGCACCTTCATTATCATTCGCAATGAAAAAGGTCGAATTCTAAGTAATCAGAGATAACTAGATTAGTGATACCTCGTCGTGACGCTAGAGCTTTTCAAGCTTTTATATTTATAGTACATTTCTCTTTGGGACTGTAAACAGCAATATTTATGCACCTTCATTACCATTGGCAATGAAAAAGGTCGAATTCTAAGTAATCAGAGATAACTAGATTAGTGATACCTCGTCGTGACGCTAGAGCTTTTCAAGCTTTTATATTTATAGTACATTTCTCTTTGGGACTGTAAACAGCAATATTTCTGCACCTTCATTATCATTAGCAATGAAAAAGGTCGAATTCTAAGTAATCAGAGATAACTAGATTAGTAATACCTCGTCGTGACGCTAGAGCTTTTCAAGCTTTTATATTTATAGTACATTTCTCTTTGGGACAGTAAACAGCAATATTTCTGCACCTTCATTATCATTGGCAATGAGAAAGGTTGAATTCTAAGTAATCAGAGATAACTAGATTAGTGATACCTCGTCGTGACGCTAGAGCTTTTCAAGCTTTTATATTTATAGTACATTTGTCTTTGGGACTGTAAACAGCAATATTTCTGCACCTTCATTATCATTGGCAATGAAAAAGGTCGAATTCTAAGTAATCAGAGATAACTAGATTAGTGATACCTCGTCGTGACGCTAGAGCTTTTCAAGCTTTTATATTTATAGTACATTTCTCTTTGGGACTGTAAAGAGCAATATTTCTGCACCTTCATTAGCATTGGCAATGAAAAAGGTCGAATTCTAAGTAATCAGAGATAACTAGATTAGTGATACCTCGTCGTGACGCTAGACCTTTTCAAGTTTTTATATTTATAGTACATTTCTCTTTGGGACAGTAAACAGCAATATTTCTGCACCTTCATTATCATTGGCAATGAAAAAGGTCGAATTCTAAGTAATCAGAGATAACTAGATTAGTGATACCTCGTCGTGACGCTAGAGCTTTTCAAGCTTTTATATTTATAGTACATTTCTCTTTGGGACAGAAAACAGCAATATTTCTGCACCTTCATTATCATTGGCAATGAAAAAGGTCGAATTCTAAGTAATCAGAGATAACTAGATTAGTGATACCTCGTCGTGACGCTAGAGCTTTTCAAGCTTTTATATTTATAGTACATTTCTCTTTGGGACTGTAAACAGCAATATTTCTGCACCTTCATTATCATTGGCAATGAAAAAGGTCGAATTCTAAGTAATCAGAGATAACTAGATTAGTGATACCTCGTCGTGACGCTAGAGCTTTTCAAGGTTTTATATTTATAGTACATTTCTCTTTGGGACTGTAAACAGCAATATTTCTGCACCTTCATTAGCATTGGCAATGAAAAAGGTCGAATTCTAAGTAATCAGAGATAACTAGATTAGTGATACCTCGTCGTGACGCTAGAGCTTTTCAAGCTTTTATATTTATAGTACATTTCTCTTTGGGACTGTAAACAGCAATATTTCTGCACCTTCATTATCATTGGCAATGAAAAAGGTCGAATTCTAAGTAATCAGAGATAACTAGATTAGTAATACCTCGTCGTGACGCTAGAGCTTTTCAAGCTTTTATATTTATAGTACATTTCTCTTTGGGACAGTAAACAGCAATATTTCTGCACCTTCATTATCATTGGCAATGAGAAAGGTCGAATTCTAAGTAATCAGAGATAACTAGATTAGTGATACCTCGTCGTGACGCTAGAGCTTTTCAAGCTTTTATATTTATAGTACATTTGTCTTTGGGACTGTAAACAGCAATATTTATGCACCTTCATTATCATTGGCAATGAAAAAGGTCGAATCCTAAGTAATCAGAGATAACTAGATTAGTGATACCTCGTCGTGACGCTAGAGCTTTTCAAGCTTTTATATGTATAGTACATTTCTCTTTGGGACTGTAAAAAGCAATATTTCTGCACCTTTATTAGCATTGGCAATGAAAAAGGTCGAATTCTAAGTAATCAGAGATAACTAGATTAGTGATACCTCGTCGTGACGCTAGAGCTTTTCAAGTTTTTATATTTATAGTACATTTCTCTTCGGGACAGTAAACAGCAATATTTCTGCACCTTCATTATCATTGGCAATGAAAAAGGTCGAATTCTAAGTAATCAGAGATAACTAGATTAGTGATACCTCGTCGTGACGCTAGAGCTTTTGAAGCTTTTATATTTATAGTAAATTTCTCTTTGGGACAGTAAACAGCAATATTTCTGCACCTTCATTATCATTGGCAATGAAAAAGGTCGAATTCTAAGTAATCGGAGATAACTAGATTAGTGATACCTCGTCGTGACGCTAGAGCTTTTCAAGCTTTTATATTTATGGTACATTTCTCTTTGGGACTGTAAACAGCAATATTTCTGCACCTTCATTAGCATTGGCAATGAAAAAGGTCGAATTTTAGTAATCAGAGATAACTAGATTAGTGATACCTCGTCGTGACGCTAGAGCTTTTCAAGCTTTTATATTTATAGTACATTTCTCTTTGGGACTGTAAACAGCAATATTTCTGCACCTTCATTAGCATTGGCAATGAAAAAGGTCGAATTCTAAGTAATCAGAGATAACTAGATTAGTGATTACTCGTCGTGACGCTAGAGCTTTTCAAGCTTTTATATTTATAGTACATTTCCCTTTGTGGCTGTAAACAAAAATATTTTGACACCTTAATTATCATTGACAATGACAAAGGTCGAAGTCTAAGTAATCCGAAATAACTAGATTACTGACACCTCGTCGTGACGCTAGAGCTTTTCAAGCTTTTATATTTATAGTACATTTCCCTTTGGGACTGTAAACAACAACATTTCTGCACCTTCATTATCATTGACAATGACAAAGGTCGAAGTCTAAGTAATCCGAAATAACTAGATTAGTGACACCTCGTCGTGACGCTAGAGCTTTTCAAGCTACTATATTTATAGTACATTTCCCTTTGGGACTGTAAACAACAACATTTCTGCACCTTCATTATCATTGACAATGACAAAGGTCGAAGTCTAAGTAATCCGAAATAACTAGATTAGTGACACCTCGTCGTGACGCTAGAGCTTTTCAAGCTTCTATATTTATAGTACATTTCCCTTTGGGACTGTAAGCAACAACATTTCTGCACCTTCATTATCATTGACAATGACAAAGGTCGAAGTCTAAGTAATCAGAGATAACTAGATTAGTGATACCTCGTCGTGACGCTAGAGCTTTTCAAGCTTCTATATTTATAGTACATTTCCCTTTGGGACTGTAAACAACAACATTTCTGCACCTTCATTATCATTGACAACGACAAAGGTCGAAGTCTAAGTAGTCCGAAATAACTAGATTAGTGACACCTCGTCGTGACGCTAGAGCTTTTCAAGCTTCTATATTTATAGTACATTTCCCTTTGGGACTGTACACAACAACATTTCTGCACCTTCATTATCATTGACAACGACAAAGGTCGAAGTCTAAGTAATCAGAGATAACTAGATTAGTGATACCTCGTCGTGACGCCAGCGCTTTTTAAACTTTTATTATTTACAGTAAATTCCCTTTCCTTTATAACAATTATCTTCTTTCCCTCTTTGAGAACGTTGAAACTTTTTGGGGGCGGTTTTATCGATGTGCCATTCTATGTTGTTGCTAAATAAAAGACGTCCTGTTCCCGTCCTCGTCTTCGCTGTTTTATACTTTCAAGTTTTCGTACTGAATCGGAGCTTAGGATTCATTGATATTTAATCTCTAAAATTAATATATGTAAAATATTTTTTTTTAAAAACAAAAAAACATGAAGTTATTGAAAGAAACTAGTCATTTTGGCATTCTTCTGTGCAACTTATTGTGTTGTACTGTTTGTAGTTAAAGCCTTGCTCATGCTGTGTGTGTATGATCGCAGAAATTCGAAGGAGTGACTGCTCAGGCATCGTGATCGCTCACCTGGTCGAAGAAGTCGTCGATGGTCCTGAGCAGGAGCTTTATCTCGGTCAGCTCAACGTAGTTCTTCTGGAGCAGCCGGTTGTTCTCGTTGATCTCTCGCAGTTCACACTCCAAGCGGTCTACGTTGGCCTACGAGTTTTGGAGACAGCACTGCTTAGTCCCAACTCCCTGGGTGCCATGATGTCTCGGCTCCGCGTACACTCCCTTAACCACACCCATAAATCACTCATCCCTACCTTTGCGCTTTGTGTGACGTTCGCATGGTGCATTTCTTCCTGTTCGAATAGTGAATCTACAGAACCCGTGAATAGTGTGTTAAAACTAAAAATATATGCACAAAAACGAACAGGTACGACAACGCAGAAGTTTCCTCTTCCTTTCTTTGCCCATGTTCGTTCCTCTTCGTTCCAATGCTCATCTAGAGCAGCAGTAACTATCGCTACACTAGGGCTTTGGTTTTTTTTTTTGTCAAAATGGATAAGTTAGTATGGTCTGTGTTCACTTAGCTGTTTAACACACGAACGTACTACGTGGATCCTTGCTGTAAGTGTTGTCTTGCCTGTGAACCACTGTTGGTGTCACACTCTAGGAATTTCACAAGGCACTACAATGGTAAACTAAAAACAGGAATACGCGTTTCTTTTTTCCCCAATTTTTCGCTATATCCCAGGCAAGGTCCTCTTTAACAGGGAGCACAAAATTGTAGTGTGGTCTCAAATATGCTTAACGTTTCAGCTTTCCATTAATCCGGCAAGAACTGTTCATGAATGTGAACGATCAAATGCAATGCTTTTTGCGTTTTTACGCGATTGCAAATTTAGTCAAATATGCTTTTAAAGTACTCCTGGTGACCCGAAATGGCGTAAATTTGGACCATTTTGGGTGGGAATTTCTCCAAATTGTGACACCACCCACCATTGCATTTGTTTTATAAAGGCTTAGCTATCTTTTCACCATCGCACTCTTCGCTAGATTTCACTTCTTACACACAGAAAAAAAAAAAAATTCATGTTTTTTTCCGTTACCCTTCACATCTATGGTGATATGTAGGGACACAGGGGATCCCACCACAACTAAATTTGGCATGCATACGCTTTAGGATACGTATAATACCACTATAGAGTATTGGTCACAATACACATATGTATTTATAAATAAAACTATCTTTAAGTAAGTACTTTTCTCCCTTTTAAGATGAATTTTTGTGACTTCCAATTATTTTAAAGTAAAATAGGTATCGCCATATCGCTTTTGTTATTCATTGCATTTAGTGGTTTGACAAAAAGTAGATTAGTGTAATTTAATTTCTTTTTCTTTTACCATGCGCGACGTGTGCACAATAAGATGCTCGTTTTGGCCTGTGCATTGTATCTGGAACATAAAAATAGCTATTTTGAAACAAATGCATACTCATGTCAGAGAAATAACGCACGATAAAATGTGAAGTCTTCATTCACCTATCGGAAATACAAAAAAGTTTGCATGAATAATATTTCAACGCCGTATTTTAGCTGAAAGGGTTGGAATATTAAGTACCAGATTAACGCTTAAGGATGGCAAACTTAGTGCCATATAGATTTGCTCACCATCGGACAATGAGAGGGCTACTGCAGAAAGTGGTTTAGTGCCCCTCTAATGGTACGTTTACACTTGCGGATCCGTCAGCGAATCATCCCAGCTTTTGCCGCTGGGGCGAAACGCTGGGCGGAAAACGCGGCGGCGAGGCGTATAGGTCCGGGATCTGTTTTTGCCGCCGAACGAGGCATTTCGCTGACCGGAAGTGACATTCTTGCGCAGCGCGACGCTGCCTACGTCATGAGTAGCCGTTCTTGCGGGAGCCTACTCATGACGGCATGTTACGGCATGTTACGAGAATAGCTGCCGTAGCCGACGGCGCCGCCGCCGCTCGAAGGAAATAGATGTAAACGCAACCCGGTTGTCGCCGCCGCCGCCAGGAGCGGATCCGCTCCCGCGGCAGCGGATTTCTTCTCAGGTGTAAACGTACCATGATGCTGTGCCATAGCCTCCTCTCCGTATAGAGGAGGCTATGGCTGTGCTCATCTCCGAGAGTAATATAAATGCTTGCTTTGATTGATTTTTATATCCCCATCTGTCCCGTGTCTGCATAATTTACAAGGGCGTATGCATCCTATCCGAAAGCCGCATATTCACAGTTGTAGGTGAATACGCACCATTCGCAATATATTTTTGCGTGATAGTCTTGAACATCACTATTGCTTTATACGGGCTCATCTGGAAACTACGCCTTCCCAATCGCCCACACTTCGTAAAACACACCATTTAAATTCCATAAACAAATTGCTGCCGAAGTTATAGGCAGTGCGTGCTTCAGGAGGCTTCAAATAAGTAAGGCTAAGGTATAAACAAAAAGCTTGCCGAATACCTCGTTGTCATCCACCAAGAGGCAAAAAGAGACCAACAGAAAAATACAATCTATACCCAGCACAGCTTTTCACAAAATTTGAAGCACTCTCAACTTTTCACTGCAATAGAATAAAATCAGAAATTCAACTTTTTTTAAAAGTCGAAGCAAGCCATGATTGCTTAGCCAGATGAAAGTCAGATTCCTCACTTTATCTGCTAATCTTGTCTCTAGCGAATGCGTTCTTACACTGCAAAAAAGGGTATATTCTTACACACTCTGTCCGATATAAGACACCCCAAAATTTCAGTTCGACGAACGGCGCACTGACGTCGACCTGACGGTACTAACTTTTACAAGAGGCTTCATAGCCGTGTGGTACAACTTATTAAAGTAGCTAATGTACATTTTACTGACTACAAAAAAAAATAGTCGGGGTTTTCTCGGCACTCCTGCAAAACCTCAGTGTTTTCTTTCTGCGGTCTTTGATACGTGCTTTAGCTATTTAATAAGGTATATCGCACCGCTATCGAGCCCCTCGTAAAATTTAGGGCTGTCTGTTCGACTATTGTGGGCTGTACGTCGAACTGAATTTTTTTGGGGTGCATTATATGAGACAAAAGGGTGTAAGCTGATACTTTTTTAGAGTATACATATCCTTTATCATCTAATGCCTTCTGGAAATTGCATCAAACTTATGTATTAAATACTATCAACTATACACAAAATTGAACTAGGCTATTCCTGCATCGGCCGGTATTATTTTAAATACCCATCAAAATCTGCGGATATTCCGCGAGTAAGCGAGGCACCTGAAATGGGTAATCAAGTAGTGTTGTTGGCTACACTGATAAAAATTAATGCATTAGCGAGCTTCGTCGCCTCTCCACAAACGAGACACAATTCCGTTCCGGCCGCTTCCCCAAAAATAAGAACTGTTACTCTGTCAGACCTCGAGGTCCACCATGTCCCTTGCTTGGGGCAGATTCCCCACCTCATCGCCGTCTTCAGGAAGTGGGAGCTGGTCATTCTTTATCTCCCGCTCCACAAACCCTGCGGTGACAAGTGCACGTGTGAAGCCAGAGAGCGCGAGTCAATGTTAAAAATATAGTGAGCAATAATTAAAGATGAATGACCTCCAAGCAAGCAGACGTGCTGGTCAATCTTTATTACAAAGTCTCTCCAGAATGCGGAAGAAATTAAATGAAGGGGGGGATGGAAGACGTTTACAATTTTATGTGATGCCGAATTAGAGCGTATTTCTTGAGGAGGAGGAGGGAAGGCTACGGAGGGGAATTTAACGGAAAATTGTCCCACAATTTCCCGGCAAATTGCCCCACTAAATGTAGCGGGAAAAACCGCCCACTAAGTTTGGCGGAAAATTTCCCCCCTAAATTTAGCGAAAAAATTTCCCGCCAACTTTATGCGCCATGTGACGTCACTCGTCACCCTCGTGACATCGGGCGTGACGTCACGTGTTACGTCATTATGGGAAATGTCCCAGGATGCAACGCGTGGTTACGCCGACGGTGACGCAGACGGCAACGGCGACAACGACGCCGACGGCGGCGCCGCTCAAGCCGGAAACGGGCGCCTAAGAGCTGCGCTCTCAAAAAAAGATTCGTTAGTGGGCTCTTCGTTCTTATTTCGGGTTTTTTGAGAATCGATGCACATACGTGGTGGAACAGAGTACCTGCGATCGAACGCACACACATGTTTCATGAGTCACAACGTACAAGATTAGAAAATACAAATTCTTGTCTCAACTAAGAAGACTCCTGTTTTTAATTTCCACATCGACTGAAAGGTTTTAAACGCCCCCCTCCCGGGAACCTTTGAAGGCCCATATCAACGCGAACGTCACGGTGCATCACATTCAGATTCTATTTGGGCGCGGAACAATGCTTTCGCGTTACAAAGGCAGAGAGAATTATACTCTGTTTCAGTTGGCGGCAAGGACATGATTCTGCTTTACTTAGTTTTCGTTCCATCTCGTCGCATCGTCGAATCTCGTTGACAAACTTCCGCTGGAAGGCGTTCACGTCCGGGTTCAGCTAAAGGAAGCAAGGAAAACAAACAGGTTGTTTTTAGAAACGCGAATGTTAGTTAACAACCGAACCGTTCGAAAATACAACAAAAAGAAATCAGTGGGCGTGCCAAATGCACGAAGATAAATAATAAACTTACACGGTGTTTCTGAACGCAGTTGAGACGCACAAATATCGTATTGACAAACTTAGGTGCGGAGTGTAATATAATCTTTTAGCGGATGCATCTTTAGGTGGCGTAACAATCATACACAACTTGTGTAGGTGTCGGTTTCTTGGAAAAAGTCAAGCCAATAAATCTTGTTATTCCGATGCATGGGAAGGAAAATGAAAGCACCCCGCCTGGTTGACGCTGCCACCCGCAGAGGGTACAACATCAAGCAAAAACTTGAAAGCCTCTTCGGTATGACCAACCGAATGCAGATCTATCAGATTCAAGTATGTGCTGCGCCATCTCTTAGCAGCAGCGTCAACCAGGCTGTTTGTTTCTGTTTTACTCCCTACTATAAAAAACACCGTACTTTACTTGCATCTTTTAGAGACACCTTTGATATTTTAGTAAAATAAATGTACCGCCTAAAAACACATTTTTAAAAGCTTAATTGCACTTAGTTCACTTATTTACTTATACGAAACCTTTACGCTTATATAGCGCACCAAAAAGCACCCTGTAGCAAGCAAATTAACACAAAAATGGCCTTATAACTCATTCATAAAAAACATACTGGAACAAAAACAAATTTGCTTCAAGAAGGTTTCAGAGCATCCTGCATGTGAATCGTGTTTCTGAACTGAATGTTTAAAATTCATTACGCTCACAGTTCATCTAGAAAACAATTGCGAAATTATTTTATAAAAATATAACACGACAATGAAATTCAGCGGGGGGGGGGGGGGGGGGGGGGGTACGAAACGGTTCTTGATTTTCAGGAAAGATTATCAAAGGAAACCAAATGATGAGAAAAAAAAAATAAACTCGTTTCCGCTACTACGCTGGAAACGAGTTCCTTCTAAAACATTAAAATGTTTCTTTTATAATAGAGTACAGGTAGTTACCGAGAAAAGCGAATCGTGTTTTTTGGCCCAGGTAAATATACTACGCATCGCAGAGAGACCAAACTCCGTGAGAAGATGATAATGGCAGTTTAGCCGTTGGAATGGAACGTGAAACTTTGTAAACATAAAGTTACCTGAATCAAAGGGTAATTTTGAGAAACGAAATTTTTCAATGAGCCAACGTCTGACGTCTACAAGCCGACGCTGATAAATCCCGTTTGCTCTACTGACGTCTAACTCCTGATTAGCTCAGTTGGTAGAGCGCTCCACTGGAAATAGAGAGGTGCCTGGTTGGATACCAGGACCAGGTGGATTTTTTCGGTCGCGCACAAGTAACCTAGCCGTGTTTAGGGATTTGTGTTTGACCGTTACCGCCTTTGTTTCCTTCTCCAGTGATTATTTTCGTCGTTCTCGTATACACAAACTCATGTTTACAAACAAACCGGAGCGCCCCTAGCGGACGCCACCGGCGCCGCGCATGCGCGACAGGGGTGTGGGCAAGAAGCTCGCCGTCGCCCATAAACAAACCATTGAAATGCGATGCTATCGGCGTCGGTGTGAGTCCCCCTGCCCTTTTTCGCGTTAGAATTATTGATTCTCGTCTTCCTGGGGCACTGTCTGGCTACTTGAGCGGCCTCAGCGAGATTAACGAGGCTCGTTACACCGCAAAACTTGGCGTGAATAATGTGACATGCAGCGATTCATTCCGCGTGGACGCCGCAGTATGTACGCTAAACCCTGATTCGCATGATTTGATTTCGCTCGCAATTTTCAGTCGTGACGTCCCTCGGTCTGCAAAGGCGTGAACCGTAGCTGAGATGGTCGACGTCGATACTGAAAATTTAAAGCAGAGTCGGACCGTGTGAATCAGGCATAACGAGCCGGCGATGGCCACTGGTAACAATGATCAACACCTCCTTGTACCTACTGTTTACATCGAGCCTGCTTACCAACCTTCAAACTTTAAGGCTTATGAGGCCTGCACTTACTTCTTATGTCAAGTACCGGGCCCACGTTTGGTCTACGGGCCGGTGTTGTCTAAAAGAGCGGACGACTAGCAGAAACGTTTGAAAGAGCAGACGACAGTTCGAGCGAACAGACGGCCGTTTGAACTTGAAGACGCACTAAACGTAGTCTGCAAGTGGTCCGCACAACTTGACGGTTTTCTGGCGCTCATATTGGAACAAACAAATAAATCTGATGACCACAAGTATATGTGAATTCAACACAAAGTGCTTCCCGCCCAAGCAATCGTTGTCCGACGGCGTCTGCCTTTCCCTTTTCACGGCACATATCCAGATTCTCGGACGAACCGAGCACATGAAAAGTGACCTTCAAACCTTTCTCGACACTTTTGGAATGGCCCCAGTTGCGGCGTTTTGACGAGAAGGCAGGTTTCTGTCTGGTTCCTTTCAAAACAACGCAGGAATACACGTCTGGCACGGGGACTTCTGCCCACAGCTCCAGACCGGAAGTGCGACCGACGCGCCACCACTGCGCCGTGACGTCACAGAGTTGAGTTCGTGTATAGCTCACTTACACCTTTGCATTACTTGTAATATCATCATCGTCGTCCACCTAGGCCTAATATTGTCAAAGGAGAAACTTAAATCGTGGACGCATGTGAGATTCGTGTTAGTGGAAAACAATTGTCAGCAAGAAAACAAAAATAATGAATTCTCTTTCTTGTTGAGAAGTGTGTTTCACCGGTAAAAATTCAACAGGCGTTCACAATATCGTTTCTTGTTTGTATGATATTAGGCTTAGCTAAACGTCGTCTAATAAAAATTTCGTTTTGTTTTCAATTATATTTTTATCCGGTTAACTTCATGCTCTCAAACTTTCGCGTTCTATTTCAAAACGTAACTTCATATTCTCATGGAGTTTGAGTTTTCTGCAGTGCATTGGTTTACTTATTCAGGCCGAGAAACGCGGTTCTCTTTTTTCGGGAACTTTCTGTATTCTTTATACGGCGAGCAAGTGTTCTATAATGCGTTCTTCGCGCATATGAACACTAAGAAGGGAACGCCTACACTCTAAAAGAATTCCGTGCATCTACTTTCCCGCACAACACTCGGAGAGCCAATCAGCGCAACTTACGGAGGCAGCTCAGCGTATGACGATGTCGAAACATATGTTTAGACCAAAAAACGCAGTCTGACTTGTGACGTTAACCAATGCAAAACGTCACGCTTGCATTGCTTAATGTCACAACTCAGTCTGCGTTTTTTCTCTGAAATTGCTCGCCTTATACACCAACTCAACTCTCCTACGTCACGCCGCGGTGGTGGCGCGCCGGACGCACTTCCGGTCTGGGGCGGTGGGCAGAAGTCGCCGTGCCAGGCATGCATTCCCGTGTTCCTTTGGAAGGAACGAGACAAAAAACCTGCCATCTCGTCAAAATGCTGCGATGGGGGCTTTACCAATAGAGTCTGTAAAGGTTTGAAGATCAGTTTTCATGTGTTTTTGCACCCTCCGTTCGTCCGAGAACGTGGATAGTAGCCGTGAAAAGGGCAAACCAGACGCTTTCGAACTATGATTGCGTGTGCGGGCCACAATTTGTGGTCGCCAGATGTATTTGCTTTGTTCCAACATGAACGAGAGAAAACACCCGAGTGTTCCGGACCACCCACGGGTTCAGTGCGTCTTCAAATTCACACGCCGCCTGATCGTTCGAACTTTCGTCTGCTCTTTCAAAGTTGTCTGCTTTTTGTCGTCTGCTCGTTCAAACAAAAGCGGCCCGTAGACCAAACTTTGACCCGGTGATTGCAATAAGAAGTAATTGCAGGCCTCAAGAGGCTTAGGTAGGTTCGGTGTAAACAGTAGATACAAGATGTTAATTATTGGTACCGGTGGCCATCACCTACTTGTTACGCTTGGTCTGTTCCCGCTTTCGAGTTTCAGTATCGACGTCGATCATCGCCGCTACCTTATACACTTTTGCAGCACGAGCGACGTCGCGACCGAAAATAGCTACAAGAATCTCATCATGGTTTTGGCGTCCATTCTGCGGCGTTCATGCGAATGAATCTCCGCACGTTAAATTATTTACGGAAAGTTTAGCGACGTAACGAGCCTTGATAATTTCGCTCAGGCGATTAAAGTGGTAAGACACTGCGATGAGGACGTAGAATCGACAACGCCAACGCGACAAGAGTATGCAGACTCACACAGGACGCCGACAACGTGACATTCGAATGGTTTGTTGACGCGGGACGCGGTGCTTCTTGCCCGTACTCCATTGCGCGTGGGTTCGAACTGTCGTCTGCTCTTTCAAACTTGGCTGCTTTTTGTCGTCAGCTCGTTCAAACGACAGCGGCCCGTAAACCAAACGTTGACCCGGTAATTGCGATAAGAACTAAGTGCAGGCCTCAAAACACTTTTGAAGGTTGGTTGGGGTAAGTCGGCTAAGGTGTAAACAGATACAAGAAGTTGTTGATCATTGTTACCAGTGGCCATCACCGACTTGTAATGCCCGATTCTACTTGCGGTTTTCAGTATCGATGTCCACCATCTCGGCTACGGTCCACGCTTTTGCAGTCCGAGCGACGTCGCGACTGAAAATAGCGAGCAGAATCTCATCGTGGGAGTCAGGCTTTAGCGCCCATTCTGCGGCGTCCACGTGAAATGAATCGCCCCACGTCACATTATTCACGCAAAGTTTTGCCTCGATAGTTTTTCTGAAGCCGCTCAAGTAGTCAGACATTGTTAGGAGGACGTAGAATCAACAATTCTAACGTAAAAAAGAGCACGGGGACTCCCACCGACGCCGACAACAACGCAATTCAATGGTTTGTTTATGGGCGACGGCGGGCTTTTTGCCCACCATCCACCGCGCATGCGCGGCGCCGGTGGCGTCCGCTAGGGGCGCTCCGGTTTGTTTGTAAACATGAGTTGGTGTATACTGCCCTTTTCGCGACACACAAAAAAAATCAAGGGCCGAGGTCGCT